TATAGGCGTTATGGTTTTTTCCTTCTTCTTCTTCTTCTTCTTCCTCCCCCCCCCCCCCGTCGTAGTTTCGGCACGAATATATCCGAGCTGTCACGGCGTTCAGGTAACTATGGGCTCTATGAATCCTTTGTCACTGCACTATACTAAGCAAAATTCGCACAAGGTGTACGACATACAGAGGTTTTCTGTCAATTTCGGTTTGTGTAGCAGGTTATGCCTTAAATTATGTGACTACTCTGAAACTGCAGTTAGTCAGCTGAACGGACGTAGGCCTGATCGCTTCCAAGTTTAAGTATCTTATACTTCCTATGCCTGGCTCTTACTTGTCCAGTATCACGTACGTTGTAGTATCATGCATAATTTAGTTATTTAGTCACACACTTAGCGGCCTCCGTAGTCTAGAGGTAACGTTCCCACCTCATGACTCGTGGTACGCGGGTTCAAATACCCGGCGGAGGTCGTCGAATTTTTAAGGGCGGAAAAATTCAGGGAACAAGTCCTCCGGGAGGGACTTTAAGCTGTGTGTCCCGTGTCGTAACTTTACGGCACGTAAAAGAACCTCATATCCCCAAAGGGGATCACTGAGCCAAATTCCAGGACGTTTCCCGCCCAACAATAGTCTCTAAGGCCTCTGATAGATGGGGGAAGCATTATAGACACCGCTAAGCAAGTTGCCGAACTCGCTTGCTCGGCGGGACTGATGGTACGCACCATTTATCGGTACGGTAAAGAGACTGGTAGAATATCATAGAGGGAAGCACAATAGATCAAACTGGTCGCGGTGCATGGGGAAACCCACCCTCTCTAAATAACTAACTAACTAACTATGAAAGCCACGTGTAATTCGCGGACTGGTGTGCACTTGTCATGATTTCCTATAGCGTTGAGTACTTTCTTGTGCAGTTGCTGCTGTTTCAAGAGGTGAGCGTCCGCCGCATACCCCCAGGTATGACAGGCATAAGTTATAACTGACCTAATTAGAGCTTTGTTAAGCGAAAAGTTAATATTTGTACTTAAACGCACAACTTCTGAAATGGGAATAAATCCTTATGTACCTGCGCAATGCCTTTTCTACGTTTCTTTCGATATGGTGTCTCCTTGTCGTCCTCATGTCGAAAGTGACACAAAGATACGTCACATTATTTATAAAGGGAATGTCTCGTTCGTTTAGTTGTAGTACTTCGTCATGGACTGTAAGTCTTCTAAAGAAATAGATCGCCTGAGATTTCCCTTCATGGATCCGTACGTTCCAGCGCTCACACCGCGACTGCATTGCAGTGAGGCCGCGTTTGCAGTTTGCAGAGCACACGATGCTCATTTTTCTCTGTCGCGTAGATACAGGTATCATCCACGAACAGAGGAAGGTAATTTCCAACTGCCGCGGGGTTATCACTTATTATATAGAATGTACAATATTGGGACAAAGGCGGAACCTTGAGGAACCCATGCCGCTATTTTTATTGGCGTAGAAAATTCGCCGTCTACCAAGACTTTAGGTTTTCTGTCAGTGAGAAAAGAAGCATTTGACTTAATGAGACATGTCAAAAATTTTAATTCTGACAGTTTATATATTAGGCCACAGTGCCATGTTTTGTCGAAGACTTTCTCATTGTCGAAGAACACGACGGCAGTCGTCAACATAGTTTTGTTAAAATTATCTTTGACGTGATCCGCCAGCCTCATACATTGAACTGTCGTACTGTGATATGCTCGAAAGCCGTACCGACTTGCATTTAGTAAGTTTCTTCCCTCGACGTGTTTTTGGATTATTCTTAAAATCAGATGCTCAAATAATTTGCCTGATTCGCACATAAATTTTGGGTCTTTGCTGGTTGTCGGCCGACTTAGAATATTTGCCTCCTACCAAGGTGACGGGAAGTGACCAAGCTGAAGGCACCGCCTAGAAAGCATCGTTTCCAATAGTCTCTTCTATTTTTGCGTGCGTATCCGTTCCCGTGGAAAAGAGTTTATCGAGCCGTTACCTTGCAACGGGCAATATTTAGATCGTCATGTCGCAATATTATTTGTAAGCGTGTTCGACTTTATCCAATACACGAATCTGACAATAACTTTTCCAGTTTTGTATTTCCATCCATCTTGATGATACGCCAAAAAAACCGATTCGACAAATAGGGTATTGCATTGCGTACGTTTGAATGCACTCTGAATGCCACGGTCTTTGCTTTCCGTTCCTTTACAACGCATTGTGCAAAGTTTTTTAAGAGACTCAATTTTTTTTCGAGACATTAATGAAGCCTGGGCATGACAAGGAAGGGAAGTGAAGTTTCCTCTTGCAATGTTCAGTCTTTGGTGGTCTGTAGCTCATAAAAAAACAAAATAATAGATACATTTACTACAAAAGGAAAAAGCTATTTCCGCCGTTTTTATGACCAGTCAACATCACAATATCCTCTTTTTTTAACTGAAATGTCAACACCCCTCATATTTACGATGTGCTCTTAGTTCACCACAGCTTTGGGATATGGAATTTCTACTTGTTCACTCCATGTGCCACTCTTTTTCGTGATTTTATCATCTGTTCTGGGATATGAATTGGTAGAGAAGACCAGAACACCCCAGTTATTGCGCTACATCACCGCAGTCTCATCCTCCTGTTGGTAATTTCTAGATTCACCGCGCTTCGGTTTACGGACTCTTTCGGCCAAGCTTTTGTTCCAGCAAGATCTGTTCTCCGGGCGTATGATTTTTGTCTAGAAGCAACTTCATAGATTTAGTTAACGTGAATAATTTGTCAAAATAAATGTGATGCCACAGTCTTGTATCGTCTTCGGTTATGTCAATAACAGAGTTTTCCACCAGAAGAGATTGGCCATTTCTCTCATCCTATTACTTCATTCAGATTTTGCACTTTAGAGCTTATCCTTTTTTGCTGTCGGCGGTGTCCCATGCTCTTGTACCCCATTTTCTAGGCTTACCAGGCACATTGTTTTAGAATAAACCTACCCTTGAAACCCTCATCGACTGCTGAGTCGCATTGTCGTTTATGATATTGTACAGAATTTATATCAACACCTATTCGGTCCTTATAGAGATAGCTGTAATCTTCGTCTTCTGGTCTTGGTCTGTCTTTATCGTCAGTGACATGTAGATTTTGTCATTTTCGAATTGTCGAACGGTCATTGCTTGCCTGACAATAAGGAAAAGACAGAAGTCATCTAGAAACAGTCATGAATTTCTGGCAATTGAACGATCCCCATATAAAGCAATATTCTTATATATCTCTGAATTTCTCTAGCAGTTGTGTCTTCCTATTCCTGATCGGGTTTTAGTGTTTGTCTTTGGCCGGCATACTTAGTAGTCTCTCCAGCGATGAAGCCGCAAGAACTTCCGTTTATGAATAGCGAAAAACAATCCTTCTCGTCACTACACACTGGAAAATTATGAACACTTCGTCAGTTATGAAAACTCATCTTTTAAATAGAGCGTTTAAGGTTATTTATAAGGAAGGGGGAGAGGGTCTTTTTCCTAGCCTTCTCTTTGTTACACAGATGTAACTGCACTTGTGTCACCAATATCTCCTTTACTATGTTCCATGTTAGTGTCTTCCGCGAAATCACCCACCCACGAAACATCAGAAATGTCACATTCTTATGCTAATTCTTTCGCTATGGCTGCAGGTATTTCGTCAGTTTTCTCTATTTCACTTTTTCTTGTAGGACGTTCCCTTGACTGTGAAGTGCGGCAGCCTCCATGGTATTTGTTATACTAACAAAATGCCGAATGAATAGGCACCGGTGAGCTCGGAATTAATCATTTTCATTGTTACTCACTGGTTTCTACGCCATGTTGACACATAGCCGAAGCGCCGGAGATACCGGCGAAATCTGTACAGTGGATCGAACGGCTCAATTTTTCTGTGCACAAATGGCACTGATGACAGTTGAAGGCTACTGCAGTCTGCTACGAAATGCGGGGCTTCTGCTGCGCCGTGCTGGTCAAGGGTCAGTATACTGCTTGTAGGACAATAACGCTATTTTGACTTCTATAAATTAACGTTTATTTTGCGAAGAGAAAGGCCTTACGAACCGTTGTACTTCTCTGATATTGTATCGATGGTAGATTCATAAATATTTCAGGTTTGGTTGTTTCCGATATACCGTAAAAAAACTTTGATTATTTAATTGAATTGGTGGAGTCATTTTCTCCTATACCATGTGTAATCATTCCAATTTATGGGTGCATTTGCCTTTTTGATCTTGTAAAGCAGGCATGTCCAACGCGTCGATCGCGGGACGATTTTTGGTCGATCTCATAGGCCTATAAGGAAATTATACGTGAAAAGCAAGTAAATTCACTTGTAACATAATATGATTATATTCAGATTTTGAAGGGAAAATACGTATTAATCATTCCTATTTTTCTGTTCTTAACGAACAAGGTAAGTCTGTACTTTCAATGTATGTTGCTTTTACAACAAACATCATGTGTCGTGTTATTACCAATATTTTTGCTTAAAGCGAGGTACGACGATAGGAGGGGGTGGTAGATCACTGGCAGTTTTGACACTAAAAGTCGATCACAACCTGTTTGAAGTTAGACATGACTGTTGTAAAGAATCTGTAGTAATATAAGATAAGAAGAATGATGCTTCAACGCGACAGGATGCTGAAAAATAATATTGTTTTTATGCTGTCCTCTTTCTATTTTTGCTCTTTGATAGAAACATGATTTTTATTTTATTCTTTATACCGTCTCTTGAAACATAACACATTTAAATAACAATGGCCTGGTATATTAAATACTTGTGAAAATATACCAGAAATTGATGGTTTTGTTTTCTTCAATCAGAGGAATTTGTTTCGTAGACAGTTCTTGTTAATACATATTATATAATTTGGCGCGAGACCTGTATTTCAAATTCGCGCTATGGTGGAATCGATGATGACGTCATGCGCAGTTCAGTTGTATATTCGACCTCATAGTTTCATGAGCTTATCGTACACAGATTACAAGTATATGACAGACAGTCGGATTAATGTATAGTGTGAGTTGCTGTTTCTCATCTTTATGGACGTTAACAAGGGCATATATCTTTCAATTTGCGACAGGCGCCTTTGGCGATAGTCACGATTGGCCAGACATGCGGGAGCACGGAATAGCGCACGAGAAGGCTGTGAGCAACAGCTGATCAGTGCTGCATTGTCTTCCGTCGTGGTTGGCTGCTCTGTGCAGAAATTACTAAGGTCGACTGAGGCGACTGAGGCGGTGCGATTGTTTGTGCGTGCTGCAGGTTTAACTTCCCAGTTGACATTTCTAGTGAGTTCAGTCGCTGGTTTATCACGAAGCGAGAGCTGTGTAATATTTTTAAAGCAAATCGAGATTCAGACAAAATGGAAAATAAACAAATAAAAAAATCGATATTAAGAAAATTAAGTTCCGCAGTAATTGGGAGACTTGAAAGCTTCTTTTACAGGTAAGATAACTTAAGTTTAAGATATAAATAGATAAGTCATGACGCGTGACATGTTCTGTTCAGACATATGAAATCGAATCTGTCACTTATGTTATCAACATCTCAGGTGCCGCTTTATTGCAGCAATAAAGCGGCAAGAGTGCAGGCAGACAATTTTTACTCGGGGTTCTCCGTTTTTGAATGATGTTTTATCCGTCGCATATATCCACACTTTAATCAATGCATAAATAGCATCACTATTAGCTTTTAAGCAGAACCTTCTTGAAAGATATCTCTGTCGGTCTGTGGTGATCCATAAACAGCGTATAAATTACCTACCCAAGACCAAGTTACGTTACGGCTTACTGTCCATCTGCTGTGGCTCATTACCAGATACTGTATAAGTCGCAATATATGTCTGCGAAATCCAAACACCAGGGGTACGTGGGCCCTCTCCCGAACGTTAGACACGGGACAAGCTCTTATGTAGAAACTTGTTAAATGATGCACAAAATAAAAGTTCGTAAGGTACAACATTGGAACCCTGTGCCAGTCGAGGCCTATGTCATCTGTTAGGAATGGAATTTAACACAAAGACATTTATATAATACAAGAACACGTGAGCACAGGGAGGCGAGGGTGGCTCTCATCATGTCGCTTCCCTGCTACATCGGTATCAATGCTACAAGAAACTTAGCGGTTTACGCAGAAATTTAAACTTTTGCCGCGTTCCCTGACTTATGCCAGTTACTTATACGTACAGTTCCGCCGCTACTGACATCTGGTAGCAGAGTTACTTATATACATGTGAACGGCACAGAAAGCCTCGCCAGAATACATGAAATTGTTTTCCTTTTTCTTTATTTAATGATACTATCAGTATCAGACTATGTCGCATGGATGGCCAACATTACTGAATATTTGATCTGCACGTAATAATTTTCAGACAGATGCGTATTGGATAACTGTAATTAAGTATGAAGGTCCATTCATATCATCCTGCATTGATCGTTTCATACACGTAGCGTTTCCTGCACAACAAATATTCTTTAGTACTGTATTTATAGATACATTCATATCATCATGCTTCAATCGTTTCCTGCACGGTGCGGCACGGTCCGTCTCCGTGCGGGATTCTCGGAGAGACCATTTGTCTGATACGCTACGTTTCTGAGCGTGCCGCGCCGGACCGCAACGGAAGCAATACGTACAGTATGAACGAGTCTCAGTCGTGTTCAATCACTCCTTCTCCCGGTCCATCTACCCTATAACTAATGAAGTGACAGCTGGAGCACTCGACCATATGAGGAGAAACAAAATTCTCAAAAAAATATAAAATTTTCTCAAGAATTTAACACGGCAAAAGAACAAGCACTAAATCCTGTGCAAACGTCGGACAGACATAAAGATTATTATTGTATACCGTATTTACGCATGTATAGGCCGCACATTTTTTGCCAAAAATTCAAGAGGAAAACTGGGGTGCGGCTTATATTCGAAATATTCGAAATCACACTTCATTTAAAAAAAATATATATTCATAATTAGTAATACAGGGTGTTCTACTCCTGAAATAATATTCCAAGAAAATTATTTTTTCTATAATTTCTGTTTGAAAATTGTGCTGCGGCCTATACACGCNTATAAATTAATTAATTAATATTCTCTTCTTATAAAATTTACATAACACACAATTCTTCAGTAGATAGATGCAACATGCGTGCAAGAAAGTATGAGCTGGAATGGTTGGATATCCGATGATACGAAAAGTTCGCACAAATGTCGTGCAAGAAACGATCGATGCAGGATGATATGAAAGCTCACACAAATATCTTGCAGGAAACGGTACGTGTATGAAACAATCGATGCAGGATGATATGAAAGCTCACACAAATGTCTTGCAGGAAACGGTACGTGTATGAAACAATCGATGCAGGATGATATGAAAGCTCACACAAATGTCTTGCAGGAAACGCTACGTGTGTGAAACAATCGATGCAGGATGATATGAAAGCTCACACAAATGTCTTGCAGGAAACGCTACGTGTATGAAACAATCAATGCAGGATGGTATGAATGGACCCTAACATAGGACCGTGCATACATCAGGTGTTTAGCCGCCCGCTTTACCACCGCGGCGGCCCGGTTTCGGACCCAGATCAGGTCATGTGAGGTTTGTTGTGGACAAAGTGGCACTGGGTCAGGTTTTGTCCGAGTGCTTCAGTTTCCTCTACCAATTCTCATTCCACCGACTGCTCCATATTCATCTATCACCCTGGTCTGGTACAATTAGTGACCGACGTACCAAGTGGACAGTCTCAACCCACCTCAGGAAACTAAAAAGAAGTATAAAACTTATGTTTTGAGGAATTTTTATTCTTAATTTTGTATACATGGATAATTTTTCTTTTATATTGAATAAGCGTGTTTTTTATCCTTGTCATTACTCTATTTGGTGTTACCAGAGAAATTAATTTTCAAGCCTTAACGTGTTGCATGAAAATATATAGTAAGTTAAGAACGAGCAAAGTCTTGCTTCAGTGTATCATGTATATTCTGTGAGTACTGATAATATTTTGATGTGCAAATGTGAAGTATATTATACAGCCACTGTCGTAATAGCTTAGTTGGTACAACGACGGGGTACGAACTGAACGGCCAGAGTTCGATCACCGGTAGACGCAAGAGATTGTCTCTACTCCACAGCGTCCAGACCGGCTCTGGGGCCCACACAGCCTCCTATTCAGTAGATACTGTGGGCTTTATGTCCTGGGGGTAAAGTGGCGGTGGCGTGAAGCTAACCACTCACCTCCATCTAGTGCAGAGGTCAAGAAAATGTGGTTCTATAGTTCCATTCCCCCATACATCTCCATGCGGTGGTGCTTAATTAATCAGGCACCAGAACAACTTTGCCTTTTCACTGGGTTCCCACTTTACTTCGTCGCACTTAACGCTGTTTCCTCATTACGCTAATACTATTTTCATACAAAGGTTACACACAACTTCGTCTAACTCGACATAGTTTTTCAGACCTTAATAATGACTGGAATTACTGGCTGAAAATCTTGAATATGATTCTTTGAGAGTCGAGCGCATGTCTAGCATTCAGTTGTATAGAAGAAGGCTGATTATTATTGTAGCTCGTATTTGCTTTTATATACATCCAAGAATAAGTATCTATCTCTCTGTCTATTGCTCTACAGCCCTTTGTTGGGCACTGGCCGCTTTTTCAGTTTCTTGATCTCTTACAAGGTCGGTAGCACTCCTTGGACGGAGGATTAGCCCGTTGCTACCTACACACAGATATCCATGCCTCAATTGGGATTCGAACCAACGCTCCTAGTGTATGAGCGGGCGAAGACAGTTCATGCGTCTGACCGCGCAGCCACTGTGATCGGCAGCCAGGAATATACAACTCCGTTGCCTGTAGTCCGCAAGCGAACTATACTGACCGAGCGACCACCGCTTGTCGGCGAAGTTAATGCCAACTTTAGCGGATAGAGGATGTCGCGTGGTCAGCGCAACGAATCCCCACGGCCGTTAATATCGGTTTTCTAGACCGGAGCCGCTATTTCCTTGAAATAGAACCTCAATTATCCTCACGAGGCTGAGTGGACCCCGTTCCAGACTCACTACTTCTCAGAAAATCTGGTAGCGCTGGGAATCGAACCCGCACCTCTGGATCTGTAGCCAAGTAGTCTGACCACTAGACCACAGAGGCAGTTGCCAGGAATATACAAATATTTAAAATAGCGTTCGTATTGTCTGCATTGTGATGTATGTTATGAGGTTAAAGAAAGACCGAGAAACATACTTGTTTCCTAAGTTTCCTATGGTGAAAATGGATCCACTTAACGCCGTTTCACATGACATCGCGATCTACAAGAACGTACCCACGACGTTAACTAGAAAATATTGGAGCCGCAACGTCCGGTTACAAGAATAGCTTTACCGTTCCTTTACACACGATTTTAAACGAGAACCTACTGTGCTGTACGAAGGGAATGGTTTGTGGTTCGCGTCACGCTACGGCGCATCGTTTGATAACGTGAAGGACGAGAAAGGAATACTTCAGAAAAAAAAATGGAAAATAACAGTATGAAATACTATACTACTAGTAACAAACTGTGAGACTTCCTACTGAATGCTGAGCGGATGTTACGCTAATTTTATGAAAAAAGTAATAGTGCTCAGTTAAAACAAAATTTAAGTTGCATTCAAATTTCCAACTTGTTAATGAGAAGTCTGTAGTGTGGATCTGTTTTCTTAGTTTTATTTCGTTTAAATAATTTGATGTTTGATGTAGGGACTTTTAATTCTGGACGAAGCCTCTTGAAATAAAACTGATGACCCATGAATGCGGTACGATATTTCTACTTAGTAGAATTCTGCAGTGATTCACAACAGCATTATGACGTGACGCCTGAAAGCCGGAATAGTGAAGCCAGATCCAGACGTCCGTTAATAAGCAACGACTAAGTAAACACTAAGTTTCCGTTACAACCGCAAGTTGAAACACGTTTCAATGGCAACGGCGAATATCCAGTCCTTATGAAGCCAGCTCAGGCAGAGATACAGAATCCAGTAAATGAAGATGGACTAGTAAGCAGACGTTGAGCCGGTCACGGTAGCCGAGCGGTCTAAGGCATGTACTGTCTTCTCTCGCTTGGAAATCGGGATCGTGGGTTCGAATCCCACACAGGGAATGGGTGTTTAGTTTGTGTGTTTGCGCTTTTCTGTGTTTGTGTACAGGTAGAGGCCTTGCGACGAGCTGATCACCCGCCCAAGGAGTCCTACCGAATGTGTAAGATCTAGAAAAACCGAAGTGAACGGAGAAGTTCATGAAGGTAGGCCTAGGCCCACTGGGGCTGTAGTGCCAAGGAAAAAAGAAAGCAGACGTTAAAGATTAATTTCATGTGTTACAGTTACAATAATCCCCGGAGTGTTATGATTACTTCTGCTTACGACCTTTGAGTATCCAATAAATTGATTCACCAATCCAAACCCCGTCTAAAAGTCAC